TTGATTCGATGTTTGATTCAAACTGGAAACTGAAGTGCTCTTTACTAAAACCAAATATGAATACTAAATTCACTTGTATTCTATTGTTTGATTAGCGCTATTTTGTAATAATTAGTGCACTTTGTTTCATACAAATCAATGCCAATCATTAAATCGACGATAATCGCTATGCGATTGATTAGATATCGATTCCAAATTGCACTCCGAAGGATTTTCTAAACTAATTTCTCACAGTACAGATAACATGCAATTATATTATCCAAGAGACATCGAAATAAATTATGAACAGATGATGACATTGATTGAAAAGATCGCTTAAATACGTGAATCTTTATATCTTAGAAAAAAACGGTAGACCACTTCATAAAGAATTTTAAAGTTTAAAAATTACAGTTTTCTCTGCCTGGTGCATTGTAAATTGGGGTCATGTCGATCACAGGTAGTACTACATACCCAGAAGTGCTACAGCAAGCATTTAGAACTAGAAAATCTCAGTCTTTTACATACTATGTAAATATTTTGGAAATATTTTACAAACAATTTTTTCACATTTACAAAAAATCTACATTGAGTACGAGGAAGAATTTACAAATGATTTACAAAGTGTTTTAAAATTTACATAGTATGTAAAAGTACCTTGGTCCTGTAAAATCATTTTCACAGTGTATTTACAAACAATTTACACATGATTGAGTGACGCAAAAATCTATCAAATCGATCGCAGCGCTGATACATTTAACGGCAAAAATGGTATAAACTTAACGTATTAAACCTGGACACGGTATGTTTCCACGAAGTGGTTCTTGTTAATAATTCTAGGTGATTATCAAAGTGAGGGGTCTCTTGTGTGCAATACCACCATATTGACCTGCCACATTGTGACAGATCCCGCAGGTAGATGAAGTGGGTGCATATGATAATTAAGATAATTACGTAGGCGAGACTCTCAAGAAACGTGCATTCAATTCACTGCAGCGGAGATGGCAAGTCACCCATTTTCTTGTACAAAGCATGATGGCAGATTATATAAGTAAAAACCTGTTATTTAGTTTTAAGTTTTCATTAAAAAGTCTGAATAGCTTTGGTGAACATGGATAGCAAAATCAATAAGAACAAAGTATAAAAGTTTCATAAACGTTTATTTCCATTTATCTGATGTACAGAACTATTACGTTTTGTACACCCCTCGCATAAAGAATGGCACATATTTTGAAAGGTAGTGAGCGATGGTGCTCACACGAAAAAACACAGAGTAACCATTCATTGCACAGCTCATTTTTGACCAGCCATTGATCCCTTGGAGAACCCATTTATCGCCCATTTTGCAAGTCAACGGTCCAGGAACAAAGCCATCTTTACAGAACTCTACAGACTGTCCTTTGGTGCAGAGAGTATAGGCTTTGTTGATTGGGCGTACGTATTGGTGGAGTTTGTCCTCGCCCTTCAAGTTGGCAAAACATGTTGCATTGTYAACTACGGCAAAYGGGCCTTCAGAGACAAWTTGGTTGTTGTTCTTAACGCCTGTGGAAAGCAATAACGTTCAATTCAAACCACAAAGCAAATTTTCACCAGCGATTCACTGCACAGAAAAATCATGTTCTAACAACCTTAACTAAAAGTAATTTTAAAAAGAAAGCAGCCACTACATGTGCATATCATAGCGTTTTTTTTTTGTGCTTCGTGGTGCAGGTGTGCCAGTATAACATCGCAAAAGCCAACCATGCAAATTGCGGCCAGTTTGCTTATCGCGGGGCGACTTTCCGTACACACATACAGACTAACCTGTCACGTAGCACTGCGTACCGACAGGAACCTCTTCACCTTGTTTTGGTAGACTGGCTGGCTTAACTTTGTCATTGAATGTTATCTTCTCGGTGAGGAAGTAAATATCCTCACCATAACTGTTCATTGATCTCTTGAATCCGAACTTTTTCCCTCCTGAAAGAAGAAACCAAGACATCGTAGGGATTGGACATGTATAAAGGACTAAATCTGTAAATGATCTTCCTGGCTTCCCTTTACAGACATTGCAGGATATGAATGAAGCTCTAAAGATAGAGACGCTGTTACAAGTGACCTACCCACATCAATACGGAACCTGTCACCACGTCTTTCGTTATCGTATCGCCAGTACGTACACTCGATTCCTGTTACTACTGCTCTATCATTAATGATAGAGCCCACACAAAATGTTTTGCCATTCAACTGCAGTAATGCCAGTGATGCTAA